CCCCAAAACCCCAAAACCCCAAAACCCCAAAACCCCAGATTTTTGTATCGAAGGAGTAATATTAAGATGGAATATAAGCCATTCTATGAGGAAAATAAGCAGCAGGTTTGGTGATCTCTGCCCCTTATAGCACATTTCTCATCCCTAAAAGTTTATTTAGAGCATATAGACTATGACTGGTCGCTCATGAAGAATCTGGCTCACTTCTGTCTGTCTGCTTCATGTGTTATCATATTTATGCCATTGCCAAGATTCTTATCCAGCTCCTCAGGCTTATCCTTGGGCTTAGCCTGAGGCTTAGATTTGAAGAGAGGCAACCTCGTTTTTAGAGAAGGAGATGAAGGCGAAGGAGGTAGCCTTGGCTTAGTGGAGGTGGAGAATCAGACGAATTTCTGGTGATTTGACTTGAGTCGACTGGAGATACTGCTTTTGAGGAAATTATGAGAGTTTGATGTTGGAAACTGTTGCGAAATTGGGGGTTTAGAATTTTGAGTCTGATGGAAGAGGCTAAATCTTAAGTTTTCTTCTTGGTTGTAATTTGGGAAAAGCAATCTTGGAGATTTAGGAGACTTTGGCGACTTAGGAGATCTGGGTAATTTTGGAGAGGAAATTAATGGTCGAGGCATCAAGATTTTTGGTAATTTATTTGACAGGCTTGGTTTGATTTCTGATAGGTTTAAACTCTCGCTCTGGTGATACTAAAATAATCATATTATAACAACATAATCTTCTCATAAGCTATTAAGAGTTTCATTTCTATTAGCTAACTATAACTTACTTTTATAATATTCCCTAGTAGGATTTTTAAACTTAGACTCTGCATTTTCGAGTATTTTCTTGGATACCTTGATTACCCTATTAGAGCTACAAATTAAACTGCAGACCCACTCTTGACTGATACTATCGCTGGCATCACCATTGGAGGTCCAATCCTTGAATGGAACCTTCGAACTTTGTAGACAACCCTAGAAGGTTTTACGAGTGCTTACCTTAGGAAGTGTCCTGACACTATCGTATTTCACTTTTTGAAGATTTTTAATTGGAGGTGCTGGTAGGTCTATATCAAGATAACCCAATTGAGATACCATCATTAAGGCTTCCTAAATGAATTTGTTTCTTCGGGTTTCTGACTGGAGAGATCTTCCTTGAAAACTTTGGGACCGGGCTCTTTATCTTTACCCTTTTCCGTACAATTAATTTACTGCTGGCAGATTGCAAGGGTGAGAATAGCCTTTGAGTTCCACCCATGTTCCTGAACAGAGGACTCCTACAAGGTTTTAGCCACCGGATATACCTTGAGCGGTTGCCAATAGAAGCCTGCAATAAAATTTTGCTTCCTCTCAAACACTGCTTTATCTCTGTCTTCATTTTTGGAGCCTTGTAAAAATTCTAGATCCTAAGGTTGTAAATTTTACTTTGATCGATCCAGATGATCTGAAATTAGAATGGACAGTTGTCTTCTTGATGAGAATAGGCTGAGCAATAGTTCTCCATTTCTCCCGCTCATCCTTGGAATCCTCCAGCAGATCATTGATTTTACTGAAAGAGGTCACCATCATGGACTCAATGGGAACGATATCCCTGAGTTCTTCAGGGATATCGACAGAGTCTCTAATGGTGTTCTCATGAGGATCAAAAGACAAAGGCTTCTCCATCTCTGATTCAGAGAAATTGCTGTTGTCCTTCTCAAGGATAGTGTCTGGTTTGAAGTCTTTGTCAGATTTCTCATCCATCTTGATGCTCTTTTGGTCAGCTTTAGACCCCTGAAAAGTTACAAGAGTACGTTACAAATTTGCTGTGAGATTCATTACTTTGGCTCGGACTCTTGCTGACACCTTCAGGAATATCTGTGGTATGCTTTAGTTTGCTAATGTTCTTGGGAACGGAACTGATCCTTCTAGGAATTTCCTCTTCGTTCTGATTGATCTTGATTATATAAGACCCTTCAGAGGTGATACTCTCTGAGACCAAGCTAGTCTCCTGCTTTGACTCAAAGTCTATTAAGAAGGGGTTATCTGACCTTCAAGTTGTAATTTTATTAGAGAACTTGGACTTCCGTTTACTCAGGGGAGAAAGGTTCAAAAATCCTAAGTTGTTCTTCATATGCTTGACATTTTTATGTAACCTTGAAATAGAGTCCTTTCGTTTGTTGCTAAGAGTCATTAATTTAGCTTACCTGCTGCGGTAGTTATGGATCAAGAAATTTAGTTCATTCTCGCTCATCTCAATATTGGAATGCCTTATTCTAGGAATAGACTTTGTGCTAGTATCTGAAGCATCTTTTGAATCCATGGTGTGAATGCGTCTCTCAGATTCTTCTGAAACTTGGGATCTGGCTTCGGAGTACTCAGCAACTTTGGGCAGGTTAGGGCTCAAACTCTTGAGTTTTGTCAAAGAGCCTGAGTTTTGGTTTTTGCTGGGAATCACATTTCTGGATGAATTCTAAGGGTCAAAGAGGGGCTCTTACATCTTCAACGAATGTAGAAACTAAACAAGTTAGAACTGTCAGTTAGAGAAATAAGATGAATGCAAGGTAAAAGTAGACTCTACTTACTCTGTTTCAAATTTTGTGGCATTTGTGGGATCATATCTGTCGAATCATACATCGAACTGCCTTCTTGATCAGCAAGCTTGTTTTTGAAATACTGTTCTGGAATCTCTGCCTTCTTTACTTTAGCAAAATTTTGAATGGATCTTTCAACAAGATTAATATTAGACATTATGATCTCTTTCAGTGCTTTATTTGATTCCTTAACTTTTTGAATAAGAACGTTAGCATCAATCGCATAAATAACTCCTGCTGGGGAAACTCATTTGACGCTATAGGTCCTATATGGGCATTGATAATAGCAGCCAGCAATTCCAAATTGCTCCCCTCCACCTCTTAATGCGACCCTGATCTTGTGTCATGTGGCATCTTTGGCTTTAAATTTGAGATTTTCCATTTGCTCAGGATCTTCAGTGAAGCAAATTTGGGTTCTTTCATTGATCATTTCAAGTAGATTTGAGCTTTGCTTTTTCGTAAGAGCTTTAGACCTAAATTTTTAAGTCTACGGCCTTACCAGATCTGTGAAAATTTTAGAACTTGGCCACTTTTGTTAGAATCTTTTCAAATATACATATTCTTCTGGATTTCGAATTCTCCACCTAAAGTATATCACCAAGAGTTACTTTTTATGAAATAAATCTTGGTAGCTGGATCTCCTTCCTTGAATATATCTTGGCCAATGACACAGTCAATTTCCTTACAGAAATAGGAGAGTTTCACCTTTGTTTGGTAGGTCAACGGCTTTATGTATCTGAATTTCTCTAAAAATTGCACAGCCAGATCATTCTCTCTTCGCTTCAGGATCATTAAGACTTTGTAAAAGTCTCTGTTCATTGTGGCAAAGTGGCTATCTTCCATTGTAATAATAGAGGCAGCCCTTGGCTTGTTATGTAGCAAAGCAAGCTCTCCAAAAGATCCGCCTGAATCAATCTCTGCTACTTTAGTAGATACCATGAGCTTGATCTTCCTCTTGATTGGTTTGGATGCTAATGAGAGTAGTTATGCTGACGAAATGTATGAATGACATACCGCTATAGATGATATTACAGGAGGACTTACATCTTGGCTCTCATGAAATCATGCATCTTGTAAAACTTTTTGCTCTCAAGTCCTTCTTGAATGATTTTTCGTGCTCTGGGAAGATCTATCAAAGGTTAAAGATCATCCACAGTACTGTCAATGTAATATTCCTTTCCACTCTTCTCTGCCGTTTGAAGCTATTCGATAGTCTCATAGCTGCACTAACCTTAATTATTCCCGGAAAGTAATGTCTGATTTCATGCATGAACTTTTGTTTCTCCTTTCCCTCAGCAATATGCTCGTAATTGTCAATAAAATCATAGAAGGCGGCTAAAGATTGAAAGAATGTTTACTTGAGAAATCCTTGAGGTCTTGCCGAAGTACCTTCGTAGGAGTGGTATCTTCAGGGTTACAGACCCATTCATAGCTCTTCAACATATTTATATGCACTGAAGTCTTTCCTTTCAAGATCATGTAATATGTGTCACCATAATCTCCCTGGCGGATGACATATTCCCCAGCTTTTATAAGGCAATATTTGAGATTTTTAAATCAGTCAAAGAGGGCTTCGATTCCATTCTCATTTTCAAAATCTTTGAAGAAGTTATCATCTAAATTTATGAATCAGCATCATGATCTTCAAGGCTAGATTTACCTTTAAAGTAGTGACTATACGGTTAAATAGTTATTACTAAAGAATTTCAGCATCACTGTTCTCCTTTTTCTCCTTATTTCAGGACTCTTATGACTTGTCTGATAGTAATGCCACTCTTTGCAGGATCAAGAATGGAGCCGATGGTACTCTATTTGACGGATGTTAGCAAGGAGGATTTGAATCAGCCTTACCGAATGTTTCTTAATCAGCCTGCTGTTCCTTCGAATCATCTTCTATAAGGTCATTGAATAATTCTCAGTATGAATTACAGTGTTAAGATGGTTGACCCTAAGCTCATTTGAGAAGATTTGAGACCTATATTTTTAGTATCGATTTTGAGCTTTGAAAATGCCTAAACCAATTTAATAAGTTCGTATCGAATGTTTCCGATAGATGAAATTATGGTAAATATTAGGTCTGGGCTGCTAAGATATCGGAAATGAATACCTCTGATTCATATCAGTGTGAAATAGTGGATTAAATGTATTGGGCCCTTTGGCCTCTCAATTGTCATTATAGTAATCATGATGCTGCTCTATGGTTCCATCTGGCTGAATTCCGCTTTCAACATTCTAAAATATAGTTAGATTTTTCTTAACCCAAAATATGAGGGATATAATTGGTTATGACTGGATAATAAGAAATTTTGAGTGCTTCTTCTGTATAAAAATCTATATTCAATCTTTCTTAGAGAACTCTCAAGAAGATTCTTTACACAGAACTTTCATTATGAATAAAAGTATTACACTATGAGAATTCTGAGAAGGGATGCTGCTTTCCTCATTTGAAGGATTATCCATCGTGAATAATTGATTTATATTTCTATAATTTCATGGCTCCTAGGGGTTTTGGGGTTTTGGGGTTTTGGGGTTTTGGGG